CCTTTTAGTGTTGGGGTTTCCAGAGAGCCCAATGGATGAGGAAGGCGAGGGGCTGCCTGTCGCGAGGGTCCTCTCACCGCCAGGTCCCACCTGTTCGACAGCATGGCCATGGTCATCATCACCACTTGGAGCTTGAATTCAAAGTTGTTTTAAGGGCTCTTTTTAAGGGCTCTTTTCCGTCTGCCCACGTCTGGGCTACAGGATTCAAAGTTTAGGGTTTAGGGTTTAGGGGAGATCTTCCTCGTACTTCTCCCACTCATTCCTGCTCCTCGTTGACATATCCCCGGCAACAACACGGCAATCCAACTTATCTCAAATTAGTCGTCAGCATCATCACCGCCATCGTCATCATCGTCGTGATAGTCATCATCAATACCATCATTATGGGATATCTTTTGGCCTCATGTCGCTCACCACTCCAACCACAGTGGAAAAACAAATGTCACAAAAACTCATGGGAATGAGGTGAGCGATGTAGCCGTAATTTTGTGCAGAGAGCACAACTAGTAAGCAAGCTTTATGTTTATGATGACCGTCGTGGCGATAATGTTTGTGATCATGATACTGATGATATCATCAGTATTATCACCATCGTGATGATGATGATGATGATGATGGTCATAATGATGGTAAGGATGAAGGTGTTGGAGATGGTGTTGATGATGGTGATGATGATTGCAGAAGAAGAAAGTGACCGCGACCTGTTGCTACACCAAGGTCATAACCCAGCGAACCCAATACCCCTTAATTAAGGAATATACCAAAAATCAGAATATTAAGGCCACTTTAATTTAAGGTACATTCCTGAAGTAAGGGGTATTGGGATCTCTGGGAAGCAGCACAGGATGATTGTGAAAGAGTGGTGTGGCTTTCTACAGCGGCTGGGTCGCCGCAGAAGCAACCGCAATAGCAGCAGAAGCAAGGAGTCGTAGTAGTAGTGGTTGTAGTAATAGTAATAATAATAATATAATAATAATAATAATAATATAAGGATAACAATAATAATAGTAGTAGCAGCAGTAGTGGTAGTGGCAGCAGCTGCAGCAGCAGCAGTAGCGGTAGGGCATGGGGTAATCTCCGTCTTCTGCTTCTTGCACTTCTCGTGCTGCCCTGCCTTCGCAACCACGACAGAGTGTACTGCCTGTCCAGGAGAATGGGACAGACCTGCATCATGTGCCCGTCAAGTGGCGGCGGGCGCTCAAGACCTTAAGCCCCAAACGTCATCGTCATCGAGAAAACCTCCCGAAGCCTTTACCCGAGACCCGATGCCAAGCTTGAAAAGCCTTGTCGCAAGTTGCTGAAAGCCAAAATTGCCTGAGAGAAACCTGACCCGCCCAAATACGATGCCCTCAATCGCTCACGCACGCCGAAAATGGCCGATCGGAAAACAAAAAAAATAAGTATGGGTGTAATTACTTCTAGTCCATACCAGGAAGTGCTTCTAACCTTGACACGATCGAGGACAACACTGGACGCTTGCCCGAAATGGGTTTTTGGCATCAGGACATCATTACAATAACCAGAGTAGCAAGGATACTATACCATGCTGTACAGTCCTATATTACAATATATTATGGAGACTATAATACACTATAACTTACAATAATAAACCATAATATGTTGTGATAGCCTATAATGCTGTAAAGTATACTATGATATGCTATAATATACGTTAATTTTCTGTAATATACTATAATAACAACAATATGCACTGCACGTGCAAAACTCGGATCAAGCCTTTGCAAAACCCTTGCACGAAGAACCCTTACGAGACACTTGACAGACGACACAGATCTCTCATAGTGACTGATGATAACCGAAGACTATCCTTTGTAGGAACTTGAAGGCGACCCTTATTCTTGTAGTAAGCATTACAGTAGCCCTCATCGTAAGGTTTTATACTGACCCTTTCTAACAACTCTTGTGTAATATGGCTGCAATATACTCTGGTCTACTATAACATACTGTAATATACGACCCAAAACCATAAACCCTAAACCCTAAACCCTAAACCCCTAAACCCTAAACCCGAAACCGTCTACTATAAAATGCTATACCTCGGTGCCAGGTCCGGTCGAGGCACGGATCTGCTGGCCGGCGAGCGAACTGCCGGCACTCAGGCGGCCAAGGCGTGTCAGCAGCACGTCCCCATCCAGAGACCTGCTCCAATAAGCCCTGACACGGTTTAGGGTTTAGGG